AGGGCAGGGCAGGGCAGGGCAGGGCAGGGCAGGGCAGGGCAGGGCAGGGCAGGGCAGGGCTCTCCCCAGGATAGACTTGACCACCAACCGTGTCACATGGCTGACTTGAGGTAGGAGATCTTTTACACATTATTGTATTCATTCTGATTATTGCCCTAAAAGTTTTCCCTCAGAAAACAAAGTTGGTTGGCACAATTAAATGTTCTATCATTTTAAAATAAAAATATTGTATTTTGAAATCCAGAAGTGCAGAAACACGTATCTACAGAATTTATCTGACATTAGAAAAGAACTAAGTGAGGTGCAGTCGTAGAAATGTGTCTGCCATACCTCGAAAGCCAATTTATTCTTTCTCCACCTTGGTTGCTTAACAAGGTAAGGATATGACTGTATGACCCCTGGCAAGCCCATGCCAGGCCTCCTCAGGAGAACAGGGGGCTCCTAGAGCAGGCTCCCCTGGGCATTCCTCTGGGCCGCTCCACCCCGTGGCTGGGCTCCGCCCCACTCACCTCCAGAAGTGCTCTCTTCAGCAGAGGGTGGAGACGCAATGGCATGGCAGTGGAGGGAAGCTTGCATGGCTGCCGCCGCCCATGCTATGCCACTCCTGTGGAGAAAGAGAGGACCTCAATTTCCAGGGCTCCAAATCAGGACCTTTCATGGTACAGGCACAGAAAATGGCACAACATCCCTCAAACCTAGGAAACTCTGCTCTTCTCTCTATTAGAAATGATGGAGAAGAGCAATGCATTGTTCCATGTACTAGGACCTGATGACCACATACCTGTATCAACTGTGCAGTCTTGGAGAAAGAGGGGAAACAAGCGAATGATCATTTTCTGCCCATTATCTGTTTCATAGCCAGTGATCAAGTTTCTAAAGGACTCTCCTCTGCTGAATGACCCAGTCTTTACCTGAGCTAGACCCAGACCGGACAATCAGGCACAGGCAGAACTCTGGAAAAGGCCAGAGTCTGGCACGTCTCCCTCCTTCTTCATATGGCAGAATACATGGCTAGGCTGGGGATGGAGCTATGTGCTTTCCAGAGACATAGTCTAGGAGAAAAAAGGGCTTTCCGGTTCCCCATGCTCACTCTCATCCCTTTCTGTGTCCTCTAGGTCCTCACCCCCCACTCCAATATCTCAGGTATGTAGCCTCATATGTATGTTCACAAGTTGCTGGCAAGGGTGGGTCTGTAATTCCTGCACAACCACATCTGAAATGTTATCTATTTCTTTCTTTTGTCCCCCATCCCCAACAAAACATACATACTTTTAAAGAAGGTTGCACCTTTCATTGTGCTATTTGTTTCCTACAATAAACCACATCATAGAGAACATTCAACACAGAATACAAAATAGACATGGATCACTGAACTGAAACAGTCTGTACATCTGCAGTATAGCTTCCTGCTTCCCTGCCAAGAATTTGTTAAACAAAAGTACAATACCCAAGGCATATTTATGAGTTTCCCTACAGTCCTGTTCTACTATTACACTGGAATAATGGTCCCAGTGCTTAATTGACCGTGCTCCTCCATAAGACAATGTCTTGATCTTAAAGCTAATGCTTTTCCTGCCAGAAAATCTGGGGCGGAGCAGTGAGGGGCTTCCAGTTGTTGCTAAAGTATAGTTCCCACCAACTTACTGACTAATAGGGTTTGAAAAGGACAGGTTCTACCATGGCCACAGAGTTTTTACCTAAAAAATAGGAACAAATGTATTTATGGTGGTTTTTATAACTATTTTCATGCTTCTTACCATAAGAAAGTGAGTAGGTACTTTATGATATTGGTACTAATAATTCAGAAATAAAAATGTTGAATTTGGTGAATTCTAGGTCAGTAGTCCTGTAGTAAGTAGCTTACTCAGGAGCAAACCCAGCTGGGTTAATAGTTTTATTCCTTGGAGTCATGAACCATATCATAGAAATTGAAATCCTCTTATTTCAAGAGACCTGGGAAATAGGTGATTGTAGATGACTACAATACCCTATTGCTTCCTGCAGTTCCACAGACTGGCTGGGACAGACCACTGGGAAGGCTTAGTATACATTGCTCAGGTATTTTAAGAGCTAAAGTCATCCCAGTAGACCCCCCTAAATTGTTATGCCCAGACTGCCTTACTCCAAGACTACCTTATTCCTACTTAATGTGTATATTCCCCCAATCTACTCACACATACAGATATGGTCTGATTTAGAATCATATTTAACCAATCGATTTTAGAAATATTTTAAGCAAAGTCACGGTTTAACCCAAACTTGGAATGCCTGACAAGACCCCAGGCTATTGTCATTCAGCCTTCGGCCTGATGGTGCAGTAATCATTCTCATGCAGACCAACAACGGAGGGAGACAGGGGACCATCTATCATCTTGACTACTTCCTTTGAGGTCTTCCAATCTCTTCTCTGACCAGGGGAATGGTTTCTGGATGGTTTTCATTGCTTAGGACTGGCGCCTGAGCTTCCTTTCCACCTGCCCTGACCCCAAATTCTTTTATTTATGCATTGTGGCTCCGGCTTTTCTTGAGCTGGTCAACAACAGCTGTTTCATCACTGGTATTTGTAGATTACCCTTTGGGGGCTAAAAAGCAGGGTGAAAGGGCCCCAGCAGGAATTGCAAGCTGGCTACTCTTCTCTTCTGAGAAGCAGCTCCTAGTGTTATTATTCTTCCTTGCCATGTGGGTTGCTTAAATGTCATTCTTTCCTGCCTGCAGACCATTTCATTCTGATTAGATCAATTAACTCAGAGTGCTAAGATGTTCTCTGGTAAAATCTTGCCCAACTGAGTCTTCCATGTTCGTTCCTATTCTCCCTCTGGGAAGTCCTCTTCAAATGCACTCATACATGTGCAGATCTTGGGAGCTCCAGAAAAAGGAGAAATCTTTAGGAGTGGAATGTCCCATAATGTCAACCTTTCAACTTGAATCTCCTTCCCCAAAATTGTATTCTGCGTATGTCTTGCAACTTTTAATGCACAAAGTAAGACCCTGCCAAGATATTTATGGAGCAAGATAATATTTTTCTAGTTGTGCCCATAATGTTTTCTGAGATAAATAATTTGAATTCCAGAATGCAATATAGGCCAGAAATATAAGCCCAGTGGTACAACTGAAAATTGAGAAAATTAAAACACCCATCTTCATATAGAAGTTGTAATTTTGATTAAGAAAATCTGGAGGTGTGACCATTAAAAACTGTCTCAATACTTAATCAGTTTAAAATAGTATATAGGTATCAAGATAGGAATTCCTTTAGGAATATATATTAGCCTTGTTGTAAAATATATTGTGATATTTATTCTCCCCCATAGGCTCATGGAAATTTTAAACCATCAATTTACATCACTATTAATCTGAGTTAGACAATTAGAAATGTTAACCTCTACCAACAATGTCATCATAATTAAATCAATCTATGCAAAATGTGTGGCCCCCATTTTTAGGAATATCCACTGAAACCTTAAATCAAGTATGAAGTACACTAGACATTCCAATTAATGGAATAATCTGAAAACTTATCAAACTATTAAAAAATGTCCATACATTTTGGTACAGAATAGTAATTATCAATAAAGTACAAAACACCATTGGTATATAAAAGTCATTTATTTGTTTGTTTGTTTGTTTATTTATATGTCATATTTAATAGCTGCCCATCTCACGCAAAGCAACTCTGGGCGGCATACAACAATTAAATAAAATAACAAATGAATAAAAACAATCATTATAAAAAGGTAAAAAGTGATTACTCAAATGCAAACATTATCAAAAACTCTAAAAATTTAAAATATACAAACCCCAGAGAGAGAGAGCAGAATATCAATCACAGTGGAGCCATCCGGCTCCCAGAGACCCCCAGGCCTGATGACACAACCAGGTCATGAGGGAATTCCTAAATGACAGCAGGGAAGGGGGGAGCCTCGCTTTAGGGGGGAGAAGGTTCCACAGGGCGGGCGCCATGGCAGAGAAGGCCCACTGCCTGGAACCCTCCAAATGCAAGTCCCTGGCCGACGGTATCCGCAGCATGCCCTCTCTACGAGATCCGATGAGGCGGGCGGATGTAATCGGGGAGAGCCAGTCCCTCAGGTAACCCGGTCCCATGCCACGAAGGGCTCTAAAGGCCAAAACCAGCACCCTGAATTGGGCCTGGAAGCAAACTGGCAACCAGTGCAGCTTGCAGAGCAGAGGTGTTGTTACCTGAAATTTTAGGCTTCATTATTAGCTTTTTAATAAAGGTGATATTAGCATTTGAGCTTGGCATCCGTGCCTCCTTTTGAAGTTCAAGCCAAAACCACTTCTTTCTTTTATGTGCAAAAATTAGCTTTTTCAGCAACTAGACAATAGAGAGAGTATTCTGAAAAGTCCTTGAACACACTTGCAAGTTTTAAAGATACAAACCCCACTGGGAAAGAGAGTGGCGTAACCCATAAATCTGCCGCTTGTGGAAGGTTATCTGGAATCAGTGTTTCTATTGTTCAATTCTCATGTGTAATCAATGTCTTTTATTGTTTGATTAGTTGCTTTCCAACGTATCACATGCACCATGTATCCCTTGTTTCTGTACCCTATAAAAAGACTTGACTCCCCTTAATAAATGCTTTTTGCTTTGCCTGAATTACTGGGTGGTTCATATTTTCAGGTAGGCTAAAGAGCCACCTTTGGAAAGGTAAAATGGTTTTCTCTCCCAAATTCAGGGAATAGGTCTTCAGCTCCATGCCGCTTGGGGTGCCTGAGTTTTAAAGGCAACAGTGTAATATGTGCTCTTCTAGGGGCACACATAAGTGCCTGCGCCGCCACATTCAGCACCAGTTGAAGCTTCTGGATACTCTTCAGGAGCAGCCCCATGTACAGTGCATTACAGTAGTCCAATCGGGAGGTGACTAGGGCATGAGTGACTGTGAGCAGAGCCTCCCGATCCAGGAAGGGAAGCAACTGGCGCACAACCCGAAGCTGTGCAAAGACCCTCCTAGCCATGACTGCCACCTGCTCTTTGAGCAGGAGTCATGAGTCTAAGAGGGCCCCCAAATTGCACAATGGGTCTGTCCAGGGCAGTGCCACCCCATCCAGCACCAAAGATGGTACAGTCCCAGAACCAGCAGGACCCCAAACCCAAAGCCACCCAGGCTTGCCAGGGTTCAGTTGAAGCCTGTTGTTCCTCATCCAGACCCGCACAGTCTCCAGACATCAGGATAAGGCGTCCACAGCATCACTTACTTTGCCAGGGCAGAGATGTATAGTTGGGTATCATCAGCATACTGATGATACCTCACTCCATGGTGACAGATGAGCTCACCCAACGGTCTCATGTAGATATTAAATAGGAGAGGGGAGAGCACCGAACCCTGCGGCACCCCACATAGGGGCTGAGGGTGGGACCTCTCCTCCCCATCATCACCAGCTGGAATCCACCCTGGAGAAAGGAGACAAACCAGCACAGCACCATGCTGCCCACCCCCAGTCTCCTGAGCTGATCCAGAAGAATACCACAGTCGATGGTATTGAAAGCTGCCAAGAGGTCAAGTAGGGCAAGGATGGATGCACAACCTCCAATCCACCCTTGCCAGATAAAATGTGACCAATGCTGTTTCTGTCCCATACCTGGGTCTGAATCCTGACTGA